CTCAGAAGCCCCGCATCAAGTTGTCATGGAAAATCTGTCTCTGAACTTGAGGCAACTGCTTCCAACGGAAGGGAATTCCTGAAGAGAAACTCAGCTATCAGACAAATGAACTCATAATGGATCTTAGACCTAATTATAAAACCCCAAACTATGAAACCCTTAGACATAATCTTGGGAACAAATAGCTGTGCCTTTGGGCAGATTCCTTAGATGAGATACCAAAAGCATGAACCATGAAAGTAGCCATTATTAAATTAGAATTCACCAAATTGAAAACTTCTGCTCTTCTGAAAACACTGTTAATTGAACAAAGAGAACGAGCCAAGACTGGAGAAAGATGTGTCAGAATGACAAAATAAAGAATTCTCAATACCAAATGATGAGAAGCAAGCGATACAACATACAAGTGAACAAAATGTTTAAATGCCAGATAGAAAGATGATATGTAAAACGATTAACATCACTTGTTACTTAAGGAGATGCAGTATAATTTCAATATCTAAAAAACAAAAATTAAAAGGACTAACTTTACTGGGTTTGGAAACAATGTACCGGCATAGAAATTTCTCATGCCTCTGGTGAAGGTGCAAAAATGCCAGCAACTGCTTTGCAAAACAATTGAGCAGCTAAGCAAAATAAGCCAGAGCTACATCATCTGATTCAACTATTCCATTCCTAGGTATTTGCCCGAGAGGGGGGCGGGGAATCATTTCCATACAAAGACTGGAATGCTCACCATGTGATTCAACCATTCCTGTCCTAGGAGTTCACCCAAAAGTAATGAAACCATATGTGCTTACAAAGAACCAGCCATGACCATCCCTAGCGTCATTTGCAAGAACCCAAACCTAGAAATAACCCAAACATCAGTCGACAGGCAAAAAGATAAACACAGATGCACATCTCACACAAAGGAATCTGAGTCCACAGTAAGAATGTCCTGTTGACATATTGAAACACTAATGGACCACAAGGTAACTTTTTTTTTTTTTCTGAGCCAAAGAGTGTGATGGAAAGGGTACCTACTGAGCAGCTTCCTGTATATGAAGCTCAGGGAAATGCTGGGGGTGGAGGGGGCGTTCACTAGACACAGAGTTTTAGGGTTGGTGGATAGCTCTATGATCCTAGTTGAGAGGACGACCTCACATGGCCAACTGTCCACCAAAACCTGTGCTCTTTACATTTCTCTGTTATGACTCTGGAAGAGAAACTGGAAGGGAGAAAGAAAGGGAAGAAGGAGGCAGGCAGAGCAAATGTCCTGAGTTATTACTTTTTCCTTATTAAAGTGGCAAACTTTGAAATCTAGCTCATTTTCTAGAATCCTGGCAAATCTTTCTATTTTAATATACATAGAACTACAGGTCTGTGTTGCTCTCATTTGAAGAATGAAAGGGCCTTGAAATCCCTTGAACAATGTTCCTTCAAAGTGCAGGGGCCTGTTGGTACCTTGATTCGTTAATGATTTGAACTTCTGCTCATCAAAGGGAGGGATCTTATAAAAGCCCATTGTAGAAAGTGAAATTTTGGAGGAAGTGGGAAACTGGCTGCTGCCTCTCTCAGACCAACTGTTACAGGAAGCCCAGAGCCAACGACTTGACATGAGTTAGAATGTCTCTTCCTGTCTTCACTCAATGCAGGTTCCTTTAGATAACTTCAGGTCATCTTGTAAACCCAACCATAGAAATTAAAAACCCCAAAGATCTTTTGTGTCTTTGACACTAAACTAATGATTCTTTAATGAAGTTGTCACTAAATTACAGCTGGGAAGTGAAAAGCTTTGTGATAATCTTAGTGTGCCTAAACCCACAGTCATATTCTGGCTTCTGGGTGTGCCTCTCTGTTAGTATTCCCCACTGCCAGGATTCTCAAGACTAACTGGAGGAGAACAATCCCAAACATTTTTAGGCCAACCTTCTGTACGATAAAATTCTTATTTCCTAAACAGCTTGAAACAAGATAATTTACATCCTCCAGTGTTTTCTGTCAGGTGATAAAATGGAGCAAAGACATTTTTACTTCTCTTCTCTTGCTTTTCTATAACATCTTGATTGTTTAACTGGCTCAAAGGAATAGTTTGAGATACATGGTGGCCTCCTGGTAGCCTAGAAGTGAATCAACCTCCCATTAGATGGTCCTGTAATGTCCCTATCAAATGCGAACACATTCTACTTTACCATTCACACCTGTAAGCTCCTTGAGCCTCCCCGAATCACCATTTCTTAATAGTTAAGAACTATTAATGGTGATGGTTGTGGACTCCATTCATGTCCTGCTGTAGCAGTATGAGGGGCACACCCAGCTCTAGGTCTGCGCCTTAGCTCTTAATTGTTATTTCAAATGATAATTGACAGAGTTGTCATTTAGATGTCTGAAATTAGGTTACAGATTTGAGGAGACTAATAAATAAAGTCCATGTTTTTCTGAATTCACAGCTCACCAAAGGATGCGGAACTTAAAATCTTTAAAAGGACAGTCCCCCTAAAAGCAAAGAAGAGCCACATGTCCATGTCAGTGTGACCGACAGGTAGAGTATGTGTCGATATGCCTACATGGACCTCACACGACTGAAAGATTTCATCCTTCTTATCACCTTCTTCTTGACATAATAGATGCATCTGAATGCCACCCGTGTTTTTTGTGCCTCATGCTACATATGTGTTCTGAGGTATTCTGTCCTAAACTTTCCATGACTTAACAGAACTGTGCGGTAGAGGGGGCAGCAGTAACGATGGATATGCCATGGCCTCTGTGGTCTCTGAGCCCAACTTCCTCCAGCTAAAGGTGTAACCTTCTAGAGATGTAAAAAGACAGGAAGAAAAGCAGAGCTGGCTCCTCCAAGTCCTAGACATCCCAATCACGTCAACTTTAAATTGGAAAGGGATAGATTCTGAACTCTGGGAAGCTAATTGGGAGCCCCAGGCAGAATTCTAATGTGGTCATTGTCCTTATTAGTGTGGATGCTACCAAGGAGATACTGATGTATATCAGTATCACACAGCTAGAGGGAAGGGCAGTGTTCACAGACATTGGGGTTATGAAGTATCCCATTGCTCAGACTCAGAGGTTGCCTTCAAACAGAAAGGCAATAGGGGAAACATTTTTGGCCATATATTCATAAACTGTTGCATTAACTAAAATCAAAATTCATTATTAGGTTTCTTCTACCTAGCTGAAAAAGACAATGTAGAGAGACTATATTTTTAATTAAAACCATTTAATGAACTGAGTTGGATTTTCACTTAACATTTTTTTTCCTAACAACATTCTTCCTTCTGAAAATGGTTTATAGATTTGAGAGCTAGGCTCAGTTTGTCTAGGACTATAACACTAGAGAATAGAGATGTGTTAATTCTGTTTTTGTAAAGATACATTTACTATTATTTCATGTGTATGAGTGCAGAGTCTATATGCATGTCTGTGTACCATGTACATTCCTGGTACCTATATAGTCCAGAAAAGAACATCAGATTCTTTGGAACTGGAGTTGCAGATGATTGTGAGCCACCATGTGGGTGCTGGAAACTGAACCAGAGTCCTCTACAATAGTAAAAAGTGTTCTTAACCACTGAATCATCCCTCCAGGCCCAGAGGTTAGTATTTTATGAACTTCACCACTTGTGCAAAGGTGATGTCCTGGATGTGGATCCCTCAAGGGAATTGTCTGTTCTAAGGCATGGTGCTAGGGAGAGGGCAGGACCACAGGGAGAATCTTGAGAGCACAGATTGTAGGAAGGAGGCAGACTCCGGATCTGCACTGCAGCATGCTGAGTGCTGTTAGTTCAGCAGAATCCTTGTGTGTTGGGGCGTCAGGTGATGACGTAAGTCACAAAACAATCATACATCAGTTCAGAATTATGTATAATAAAGGGGTTATTTACTTAAGGGGAAAACTTACAGATCACTGTCCTCTGTGCGAACAGAAACAGAGTCTAGCAGCCAGAAGCGGGAGCCAGAAGCAAGAGAGAGCAAGAGCGTTTACAGCTGCTTTTACAGTATAAGAGACCATGCCCAAGTGGTCTGGTATCTAAAGGCTATTGGCTGAAGGAGCAGAAGGCGCTCCCACAGCATCCTGGTTTTCTAGGTCCTTGCCGAGCTGCTTTCATATCCCGCCCTTCTCACCAGAAGTTGACTACTCAAGCCAAGCTATCGTCAGTGCTGTAGGTGAAAGGTAAAGCTCACAGAGATGAAAGGAACTGGCTACAGTCATACAGCTTAGAGGTGAAAACTAAACCTGGATCTGTGTTTTGAATCCCAAACTTTTACAATATGCCACCCTCTCTAACTCAGAGCTCAGATAGTTTGAGGAAGGCCTTTGAGTAGAGTCTGGAAAGTTCTAAAACTGAACCAGGAGAGGCTGAGGGAAATTTCAGGAAAACTCTTACACTTGCATAAAAATAGCATCATCCTATCCTCCAACCCCAAGCCTCACCCAGTTTCCACTTCTCAATGACCACCTAGATTTAACCAAAGACCAGAGAATGACATGATGGGGTTGGGAAAGAAAGGGCCAGTGTACCCAGTATATGACAGAACCATGGAAGACCTCAAAGGCCAGAAACAGCGATTTCAATAGCTTCGAACGAGACCCAAACTGGAATTGAATGCGTTTTAAACCCAAGCTTAACTAAACCAAATAATATGCTCGGTTGAATTTATCTCATGTCTCAACTCAGGACTTCCTCATATATAAACACATGCTTGAAATAGCTCAGGACATTTAAGCTATCATAGAGCCACAAAGACAATGTGACATCAACGACGCGTTAAAATGGGAAAGGCCATACCGTATCCCTTTTAGCTGCCATCTCTCCTCCCATCTTCTTCCCCAGAAATGTCCTATTCCCTTTCCTTCAGTATCCCATTTGGGAAAGACCATTCTATTATTTGTTTAAAAATATTTACTAATAACATATGAAAACTGAACTTTATCAAGAAAACTTCAATATTAAATTACTTTTTTTTTTTAACAGAAAAGAAACCAGGCAAGGTTTATTTCTTACCGATGTTCTGGTTTGTGGCCGTATGTCTGACTGACAACTTCCAAACATCGGCCTACACACCGACCTAGATGACATGCTGAAAGAGAGTAGGAGTTTAGAATTCCAAAATTTTATTTTGGGCAGCTACACACACACACACACACACACACACACACACACACACACACACACACACAGAGAGAGAGAGAGAGAGAGAGAGAGAGAGAGAGAGAGAGAGAGAGATATCACACTGACTAGGTCTTTACACTGTAACATGTAAAATAAAAAATATAGAGTATTTTCCCCTGAATGTTCTGGCCATTTCAGAAGGAAGTAAAAGTAGCAAAATGTAAACTTTACTTGTAAGATAAAACAGCCTTTAAAGGCTCCCTTGAGAATAAGCAGACTGAACAGCAGTACAATCTGTTCTGAAAACCTGCAAATCTCCTATTTCGACTAAAAAAAGAAAAGGGAGGAAGGCGCATTCTCCCTGTGGGAAAGCAGGCAGGGTGGTCGCCCCTCCCTTCCTCTCCTCTCTTCCTTTCTCTCATCTCCTCTCTCTTGCCCATCTGACACTGGGCTTACAAAAAATAACTTGCTTTAGCTTGAGCCTTGACTTTCTACTCGATACTTCTAACCTTTTTTTTTTTGTTTGTTTGTTTTTTTTTGATTTTCGAGACAGGGTTTCTCCGTAGCTTTTGGTTCCTGTCCTGGAACTGGCTGGAACTAGACCAGGCTGGCCTCGAACTCACAGAGATCCACCTGCCTCTGCCTCCCGAGTGCTGGGATTAAAGGCGTGCGCCACCACCGCCTGGCTTACTTCTAACCTTCTTCAATGCAAATATTCTTTTTCTATTGCCCCCAATTCCTTTCTTCGTATTCTTTAGCTAAAGCCACTCCTATCAGGTTTTTCCTAGCACCAATCATGGTAACGTGGCATTGTCCCCAGAGTTGCCCTCGTTGCTATCTACCCTGGTCCTGCGGCAAATCACCTTAACAGCTTTTCACGCGACTCATCGCCTCTTCTTAGAAACATTTTCTTCGCCTGGCTCCCAAGGCATCCCTCACCCTTCAAAAAACACTCAGATCCATGTGCCTTATAGCCCTTTCCTTCCTGTCTCTGCCCAAATACCATCTTCTCCCTGGACCAGCCATGTGCATCCGATTTACAAAGTCTCACCTCACTGCACTCGACTGTCCTCCTGCTGATGTCACCACTTCCGGACATTGTACTTGGCTTACTTCCTTATTATGTGTCTTACATAATAACAGACCGGGTACATTCCTTAAACATATAGGATACCATTTCCTCTTATCTTTGTTATTCTGTCCTTGGCAACTTCTCCACGTGTTGGGGGATCAAATTTAGCGTCTTGCACATGCTAATCAATTGATGAGCCACGGAGACTGAAAGGCTGGTTAACACGGATGGGAAGAATCAATGGGCAGATGAGCACTTCAGCAGGCTTTGGCAGTTAGCACATTGCCAGCTGGCGAGCCTTCCTCTAGATCGCCAGCCTACTCAGTTTCTACCTTAAGAAGTAAATCTACTTTTTCCATTTTCACCTTTGTGTGAGTGTTTCCTGCTTGCTTGTCTAACATTTCAAAGATATTAGCACCATTTTAAAAAGGTCCACAAAGCAATCAGTGCCACCTAACGGGAGAAGACGTGAGTTCTGCGAAAAGTAATTGCTTCTCTTGAATGATGCGAACACCAGTAAAGCATGGTATTTGGGTGCTTCCTATCTGGCAGAGTGGAGAGTAGCCTCTTCTTTACAGCTGTTGGGAACATCAACACGCAGCATTGCATGAACTTAAGGATCTAGGCATTTTCACTTTTCGTCTCTCCTCATCTTCGAGCAGTGTGCCTCACCCAGCTGAGGGGCCTGGGAACTGTATCACATGATTCCAGAGTACGAGCTTCCACCATTTCTTCTTAAGAGATGTTTGAGTTCTCTTGTCTTGCTGAAGGATGTCACTTCTTTACACCACACTCAACACTCCCTCTTCCAGGAGCCTCTTGGACCCTTCGTGTTCCACAAGCAGTATTTAGATAGCTCTCTTATAGCCCTTGTTACATTTAAAGATGGATATAATTGTGTGCCCGTGTTTTCTTAATTTCTCAGTGACACCTTTATAGGAAGCAAGTACCGAGCTCTATTTACCCAACAGCATGCTAAGCTTTTTTGAGCAGAACATACTCAGTGGGTTTACTCTGATGAGCCATGCATGTACAACAAAACCCACCCTATTTTCATAAAGCATGAAACCAGACTACTGACTTCAAAACAAGAGAGCCTTGGCCACCTGACAATAACATTTAAAGGTCATGAGTCATAGCCTCGGAGTAACCATAGTAACTCAGCATACACACCGGAGACATGTATAATAATTAAACAAAGCTCCAGCAAGTCTATTAGTCTTGAGATAAAAACAAGGTGGAATTAACAAATATATTTCTGAGTTCGTTCTTGTCTCCATTTTTTCTTGTTTCAGGATTCACAAGAAAACTGAAAAGCTTCATTAAATATGTGTGGCATGGAGTCTAGTGATAGCACGCGAGGCTGGAAGTAGTTCATTTTTTCTCAATACCTTACCGGAACATAGATATCTCTTTCCATTTAATACAATGTGTCTGATTGCTAGGCTTTTCCTCCATGCTTTTTACATTGGAGCAGTAATTGGTGGCTATGTGAATCCATGGTTTCAGCACAATTGGTTTATCAGGACAGCAGGCAATCACCCCGTTCTCACAGGAAGTCCTCAGAAGATGCTTTTCTGGTCCTTGGATTTGTAGGCACCCAGGGTCTCACCCTCCTTTGTTTAGAGAAGTTAGAATCAAGTTTCCATTTGGTTTGAAAAAATGTGGAAGAGGGTCTGTCTCAAGGGAATGGGATGAGGGAAAAGGAGAATGGCAGGCAAAATCAGGAGACCAGTTCGTACCAGCTCAGAAGAGAAACTGTTAAACTGAACCCACCTGAGTGAGGATCGAGGATGGCAGCAGAACACTTCCCTGTCTTCACCCCAGAAGCCCTGATGGTCCGGGCACACCACAGTTGGCTCTGTATATGAGAACAAGAGCCCACAGGACACCTGGCAATGAAAGCAGCGTCCTGCTCTGCCCTGGGCATCACTGTTGCTTCACACTGGCTTGTTCGTGTCACAGTTGATAACCACTGGACATGTTGTCCACCTTCCTAATTGTCTGCACCTCAAAATATCAATCCATTAGGCGATTTCTTCAGGGAAATGAAGAGAAATTGCTAAGTTTCATTGTTTCAAAGTGGAAAATAAAATGAGGAGGTGTATCTTTGGAGGTTTGTAGATTACACATTGAAACAAGACTTTTTACATAAAAATACAAGAATATAGTGAGTTCTCCATTCTAGTCAGGAACCTCAGGTCTAAAGTGAAAAGCAAAGCTCACTTTTCACAGTCACTAAAAGGAAGACACAGTCTAAAGCCAAACGAGGGAGAAACCAAGGCTATAGTTGCACACCCCACACAAGAAACTACCCTTCAGGAGACAACTTCCACAAAAAGGGTACAATTATCTCGTTCAAGATTTGAAAGACAAAGCTGGACAGTGGTGGCACACGCCTTTAATCCCAGCACTTGCGAGGCAGAGGCAGGCAGATCTCTGTGAGTTCAAGCTAGGCCAGCCTGGTCTACAGAGTGAGCTCCAGGCCTGACTCCAAAGCTACACAGAGAAACCCTGTCTCGAAAAATAAAAAAGACAATTCTAAACAGAAGCTATTTCTATATTTGAAGGGGAAATGCGTAGAGAGCCCATATGTAAATTTTCCAGTGATTGACTGCAGATCAGTGAAAGAGGCCATCTCTATGTCCATTCCTGTGTTCAAAGTTGGTTGCTAATTTCTACTTAGGAAACAGGTTGAGAAGGAGCGCCCAGGCATATCTGTGAGCATCCTAGCTGGCGCACGGGGAGAGTTCTGCTGTTTCTTTAGGTTTCTGAAAAACAGGCTGGATGCTTCAGTACCCTAGGGACGGGAGAGTTTTAATTCTGACAAACACACCTGAATAACGTTTTTACTCATTTGACAAGAGCACTTATTGAAACACATCCTACATTGGGCTTTGCTCTGGGATCTGGGAAGACAGACTTGGCCATAGAAAAAGGTCATTCATCAGAAAAGGAAAAAAAAAAGTTTCTTTGATGTTTTCCCCCAGACTTTAAAGAAAGGTTATCTTTGAAGTCTGGAGTGAAGGTTACTTCATCCAGAAATTTCCATGGATTATTTTTGGACAGAAGGAACTGAAGACTCACCTGCATCTCCCCGGGGTTTCAAAGTCTGGGATTACAACTTTCTTACTGTGACATCCTCCCATCTTAAGCCAAGCCCATTGGGATCCTCTGTCCATGGACAGACACCAACCAACCTCATTCCTTAGAGATTTGGAATCCCTGGCACGGCTTTGCTGCCCATTGTTGCTAGGCAACCACAATGGCTGCGGTAAGGACAGTTAACTGCCCAAAACGAAGAAGGAGGAGGAGGAGGAGAAGGAGGAGGAGGAGAAGGGGGAGGAAGAAGAAGAAGAAGAAGAAGAAGAAGAAGAAGAAGAAGAAGAAGAATTTGAAAAAAAAACAACAGTTACAAAGTCACTAACTTCCCTGTACACTTCCCACAAACCATCCAGGCATGAGAACAGATGGAGGACCATCACAGAATCACCATTTCTGCAAACCTACCCTAACCAGGAGAGGAGCACTGGGTTAATATTCAAAGCGGAGGCTGTGTAATGCCAAGGACGCGGTTGTCACTCTGCTGTCTGGCAGAGGCACACACTCAGAAACAGACTGGCTTAAGCCATGCTGTCCTGCTATCCCCGCTGTCCTGCTATCCCCGTGCCTCCCCACAGGGAGTCCCATCTGGCTGAGGGGCATCTTCACAGTCCTTTCCTATCACAGGCTGAAGCAGGTAGCAAGTTCCACTACGTCCTCTACATCCGGCCACTGTCACAGCGTATCTGCAGTTCCTTCTGCTTCTCAGACGTCAGCAGTCACTTTCACCCAGCCAATTGCTGCACCTTCCCACCAAGGAGATTGCAGCCCCCACCTCCTGCTTTGATAGATTCCACAAAAGAGCCCTGAGGTCTTGATCCATATGTTCTGCATGGAAACTACTCACACAACTCATACCAAAACATACCAGGTTAATAGAAAAACAGTTTTTCTAACGGTATGAATAAAGTTAAAATGAGTTGAGTACTTGGTGGGCCTGGCTAAGAAGTCAAGTCAACTTGTATGTGTATATGTGTGTTGAGGACATACAGCTGGTTCACAGCCTTTGGGGAATCAGAAATACATCACCTTCCTCCATATTTTGACTTTCTTCTTTTTAAAGGGACCATGTGAACTGTTTGGGTGTTTTCCAGAGCTAACAACCTGCTGTTCCCTTCTCCCACAGAGTGGGTTGTATTTCCATGCACTGTAGACATGGGCAGATGCTTATATGTAGATAGTCCCTAATAGTTTATGAAAGGGAGGTCAACTCAGAGTGGCTAGTGAGAGGCACTGTGAGCATTAATTATTTGTAATGCTTCTTAATCTCAATGTATCTATCTCACTGATCAAAAAGAAAGGCAGAAAAATGTGGACAATGCAAAGCAAGTTTAAAAGTCTTTGACAAGAAACCTGAGTTTTATGTTCTTGCTCCTCCAAAGAACACTATATGGGAAGGCCATGGCAAGATGGTTAAGAAGTGCTCAAGTTCACTGAAGACATTTATACACAGAATTCTAGACTAACCAGGCTAATAGGATCAATCATAATCCCTGTCATAGTTAAGTTAAAATCATGCAAATACTTCTATTTTGAAAGTCTGAACTACATTTCAAGGAAATCCACATTTTCTCTAAGTCTAAAGACATAACCCATATCTATTGTCATCATTAACATTGCTTCAAGCCACAATCAATGTACGCTCAGAACAGCTGTTAAAGACTGATATATATATATATATATATATATATATATATATATATAAAATCTTACCTCATAGCCTGTCAAATAGCTATCCTTTCTTTTGTTTTTTAAAAAAATATTTTTAAGTTGTGGGAGAAGAATGAGCACATGCCCTGGTTGGGAGGGCAGAGGACAACTTGCAAGACTCAGTTCTCTCCTTCTACCATCAGGGGCTCAGGGGATCAAACCCAGGAAGTCAGAGTTGGTGGCAAGTACCTTTAACCACTGGACCATCTTGCTGGCCCTCAAATATGTATCTTTTCTGGCAATCAGAAATCACATATGCGCACACAGGTGCTTGTGGAGCAGATATGATTCCTATATGCTGCTGCCAATTAGAGTTAAATGAGTCGGTTTTAATAGGGCCAGAAAAGACAGGCGAGAAGGAACAAAGTAATGGATGAGAAAATAGCAAGGCAGGGCAAGAATAAATTTTGGTGAGGTGATATTGGCACTCTATTTTATAATAGGAATATTACAGTAGCAGTCTTTGGAGTCTGCTACACTCATATGTCCATTCATCTTTTATTTGTTTACTTGTTATTTACCAAATATTTACTGAAAGCCCTGTGTGCTATATATAGCGGTACTGTGAACAAAATCAGGCCTGCCCTAGCTCTCAGTCAGCTAGCAACAACCGGCTTATTATAACATGAATAAATAAAGTGGGTTTGGGATTCCAGGTATGTTCTTCTCACTCAGCAGAGGTAGGAGTAACTAGGAAAGGCTCAAACTGAAGTTGTTCGAGGGGTACCTCCTGTGTAAGTACAATCCTGCAGAGTGGTCCCGTTTCTAGAGACAGTTCTAGAGATGTTCGCTGAGCTCTCCTTGTGATGTTCACAGCATGTCTAGAGATTAGAGGCTGCATTCAGGTCCGTGTATTTGTGTCTGGGGAGGATGAGGGAAGAGGGAAATATGATAGAGAAACCAGAGTGACAGCCCATAAAGAGGATCGGATGAGTGCCAGCACAATGGAGACATTGCCCACTGACTAAAAGGCTTGCTGTCTGTCCCGGTGAGAGCTGGCTCCCTTGTCAGCATTGTTTGGCCCTCTTCCCCATGAAGCTGATTGCTTGACACAGTGGGTCTAATTACCTCCAGGCTCCCATCTGTTTTCATAGAGAGGAATGTTTATCTGTGTGAGAAGAGACTTTTCTCTACCCATTTTGTTCCTAAACTCTTTGCCTGGAGAAATCAGCAATAAACATAAAAGCCTTTATTATGGAACAAAGTTGTAAACCTTCCCTGTGTGGTTTGTTTGTGGCAGAGAAGGCGAGTTCATCCTACCCTGCCCCTCCACTGAAGTGAGCATTGGTTGTTAGAAGCCCCTAGCAATAATGTTTTTCTCATGCCCTATGCTGTAGCTTTACAGGGATAATAAGTTCAGGTACCTGGTCCTCATCACACAAGCTAAGAGAAAACAGGGGAAGATGACCACACACACTCATGCGAACCACGGCGCTCATCGCTGAATCCAAGGACGGGATCTGAAGCCTCCAAACCCTTGAAGTCCTAGATTAACAGTGATTTGTTCTCTTTTTTGTTTTAAAGTCCAGAGGCCCTGGGTGGGACTGGCGCTGATTTGTGGATCTGGGCTAGTGTTCTATAGTGGTTTATGCAAGACAAAGTTGCTGCCATCCAAGAAGTCCTTACTTTCTTGGTAGAGGCAAATGCATACCTACAGACTACAGAGAGTCATTCAGAAAGGGACAAGCACTAGAAAGATCATAAAATAATGGGTGAAAGCTGGGCGGTGGTGGCGCACGCCTTTAATCCCAGCACTCGGGAGGCAGAGGCAGGCGGATCTCTGTGAGTTCGAGACCAGCCTGGTCTACAGAGCTAGTTCCAGGACAGGCTCCAAAGCCACAGAGAAACCCTGTCTCGAAAAACCAAATAATAATAATAATAGGTGAAGAACAAGACCAGGAGGTGACATGATCTAGAGAATGGAGTAGGGAAGGTGAACAGACATGGAACACTTGCGGGCCAGAGCCTCCAGCAGTCCCAGCATCAGGGGCACAGGCATGCACTACTCTCTTGACCTCATATCTTCTTGTGTTAATTAATTCAAAATCTGTATAAAAGAAGAGTTCATCTTGCAGGTTTCTCCTGCTCCACAGAGACCACTAGCATGCCCTTTGTCAACTCCTCACCCACCCTCATCATGTTTCTGTGGATCTCCGAACCCTCATTTAGCCTTCTGTTGGGTTTAGGTTGGAGAGGAGCAGGAGACACGGAGTACCCTGCCCCCCACACCGACACCTGCTTGTCAGAGTCTGTTGGCTATTCTTTTGTTTAATCGAACCAAAAGTTTATCCCAGAATGCGAGAGGCAGTGCGTTATGTAACAAAGTGTTCATGACGAAAAGGGGTGGGGTGGAAAAAAAAGCAAGGAACAAACAGGAAAGACTGTACCTCCCTAAAGAGCTAGCCAATGACAAACGGGGGGGGGGGGGGGTGTGAAGACTTATGATTCTGATGTCATTGTTTTAGCCTAATGGGCCACTCTGTCTGAGCTGGTGTCCAACCTTGCAAGACTGACCTACCTACACACACACACACAAGAAGAAAACAAACAAACAAAAATCCCCCCAAACAAAACCTTCGTGAGTCTGAAAGGTACTTGGAAACACTTTATGAAGACATCCTCCAGGTTGTTCCTGCTGCGATACTGTTTAAATCTCCACGTCTTTCCAATGCTTTGCTACTTCAGTCTCTGTAGAAACCTTATTCCCTAATTACGCCTTTAATAAGTGTCTCAGAGATTCATTAGCTGAAAAATTCAATGTTAATATCTCCAAATAGTGCACTTTGGTGTCTTTGATAATTTCCATGGACTTTCAGTAGAGAATCTAGTGTCGGATAAGTAAAGACAAACTTGTTAACAGCAGGGAAACCCAAGAAGCCTCAGAAAAGTCATCTTTCCTTCTAGAGTTTTCTCACGGCTCACAGCCAGATGGACAAAGATGCTGTAATGGACTTGTGCTCCATGAAAGATGCTTGTAATTCACAAATAATAGAAAAGACAACTAATGGTAATTAACTCACAAAGAAATTTGCCTAATCACATAGCTGGAAGGCTCAGGCATTAAAAATGCTTAGCTTTCCTAGGCCTTGTTGAAGTTATGATCAAGCAGCATTGTTCCATGCTGCTGTTCTGAGAACAGTGTCTTATTCTGAAGGCTTGAGTTCCTCAGGGCTAGTAGCTAGCTTCTAACAGTGTCTAGGACTACAAATGATTTTGCTCATAGCCCAAGATGGAGAGAGGATTGTCTCCCATAATCTTAGAACTGAAGCCCTATATTGTATTCTAATCTGGCAATCTGAAATAGCTAGAACCCTACCACTGGGTCAGTGTTCATTGTCTTTAACCTGAAATATATGCCCACCCCAAACCAATAATTATATAGGTGGGGGAAAG